ATTTTCCACTCCCAAATTCCACTCCCAAAATGCACCCTCTTTGCAGGTTAAAGACTAACCATGCCAGGGCTCCAAAGTCTTGTAGCTTCTTTCTGCCACGAAGTTTTGGTATCTTTCTGTTCTGTCAAAAAGCAGAGGTATTTCACTTCTCTTTGGGTAGCAACAGGGGATGGGGCTGGCAAGGAGAGGGGTGGGAGGCTGGAAAGGAAGATTGCAGAGCAGTGAAATTCTCTCCATCCTCCCCACTCCCAAGTTGGAGCTTATTTGAAATCAGTACTTTCTCTTACCATTTCAGTCTCAGCAGTTGGCAACTTTTATATCCCAGAGAACACTTCTTGGTCATTAGAGGGAACGGGTAGCAGAGGATCCCTAATAGCTGAGTTCCTGGAATTGGTGGAGCAGGAAAGCGGGTCACTAGCAGGCAGCTGAGCAATTCAAACCACATCAGCTTTGTTTTTGTGGTATGAAAGGTATGCATTGCAAGGCTGGTTAGTACTTTACTTTTCTCTCTCGTTTTTAGAAGATTTTTATGTTTTAATTTTTAGAGATTTTCGAAGTTTAAAAACAGACCTTCCTTTAGATATTTATGCCTTTCTGAATGTGTTTCCTGGATGAAGAAGAAAACGTGTCACCAAACATAACAAAGGATCTAGTATTTAAAAAATTGCTGTACTCTGAGAACTACGTTGTTATTGATTGTTTGATTAAAATGGAAATAATGCTTTGCTAATAATGTTATACTTAAACCTTATAGAGCTTTAAGTTTGCTCCAAGGACTTTCCTTATCTTACAGCAACATATTCTTGATAGTTTTTTATATAAGCAGAGAGAAGACACCTTTTGGTGCAGATCTATGGCCAACAAGACGTAGAGGCAGATTTTCTGCTTAATCAAACCAAAATAATCTCCTAATGCTGTGTTATAGGATCTGGCCTGTGGCATGAATGAGAAGGTGGTATCGCTAAATGTCACAATATTGATTACGATTATTACCTTTAAGAAAGGGTCGTGTAAGATGTCTAGGGCTCTGTGAACTCAGTGGTGCGAATGGTTCTTGATGAGATTAGCAATGAAGATGTCAAGACAGCAAGAGCTATGAGATTAGGTAGTATGCTTACAGGGCACTGTTCGACAAATGGGTTTTGAAGTAGCCTGATAGTAACCATTGCAGAGGGCTAGCAGTTACTTTTTGGGTAGAATAGTAGAATACAGTTTGGAAGAAAGGATGTGATTATTTATTTCTTTCATGTTCTAGATGTAAAGAGAGTATTGGCATTCGGCTTGGAAGAAAATTCAGTAAACTTGAAAGACAAATGCTTTTTATGCATTTGTAGTGTTGCAGGAAACTGAACTATTTTTAGGAATATGGGGAGGGTTAGAGCTTTGTGACGTTCAGAAAACTATTATGTTTTGTTTATGATGATGTGTTTATGATTGAGTTAATCTCAATTTAAAATTTTGAATTTGTCAGTAAGAAATTAAATATTCTTAAATAAGAGCGGGAAGGAAAAATGGCAACGATTACATTTAAAGAATTAGGAATATTTCTTAAGAGTTCTGTGGCACTTTTAGATAACCTCAGTCTCGCTGGCACTCAATCTCTTAAGGCATGTAGCTACGACTTCATACGAGCCTTGGCAAATTTCAGTCGTACAGATTGTACTTTCTGCAGCACAAACTGCCTTCAAAATTGATTAAGAACAGTCAAATAACTCAAGAACAATTTCAAAATACAGTTTTAATGAAGTATCAAGTCTGACAGTAGACAAGAGTTTCTTTCATACTGCCCTCCTGTTTAATCCCCTACAAAACAAGGCTCTGCTAACATTGCTGCAGGCAGACACGTGCTGGGGCTCTTGTGCGGCTGCAGAGCAGCGGTTCCAGCAGGACGCCGTGGAGGAGCTGTGCGGTGTCAGACCGACAGCGTGCGTTGAGACCGTGCAGAGGAGGACACAGCAGAGGGTAGTGCTGAAAATGGGTGTAGATCTGCTCTTAGTTCCTGTGTAGGTGCAACCCTGAGAGTCTCGTCTGGTTTTGCTAATTAAGCTAAGTAATTTTGGAATATGTTGTTCAGAGTCCTTCTTGATAAGTACTAGCAAACAGATAATCCCAACGGTCTTGCAGATAGTAAAATGATTTCTGTAGTTTCAGTGTGGTATTACTGACAGTTGGTAGAAGCAGCTTAATAAACTGAGTAAGCAATTGGCACACACTGCAAACTTCAGTTTTACTCTCTGAATCTTAAAAGCATTAGATGTTTCTTCCAATTTAGTATCTGCATAATGGATATGGATGGCAGGATATGCTGCTGCCAGGCAGCTCTCAGCAGCCTCTAACAGGCTAGCGTAGACTTCCAGAGCAACGGCGTTTTTCCACTCATGTTATCCATCTTGTGCCAAATATGCTAAGCCTCAGTTTTTGCGCAAGGCACTACTAAAAGTTGTGCTTCGGCCCTGTTTTTCCCCAGCTCTGCATGCCGTGGGTCGGGCCCGGGGGTGGAACAGGCGGCGTGTGAATGCGATGTGACTCACCTCGCTCCTGCTCCCGTCCTTGCTGGCTCTCGCCCTGCCGTAGCAGTATGGCAGAGGAGTCCTCCAGCCTGCCTCTCCCTCTCCTCTCTCCGTCTCTTTTTATTTTTTTAAAATCCTTTCACTATTGTTCCCTCCCATTATAAAGAACAAGATGGAAATTAATTCTTGGGCCACTGCTGCTGATTTCCTCCAGTTAGGGAATCAGTAGAGGAGCACCATTATCACTGAGTTTCATACAGGCAGCTGTGGAAGACAAAAACTCCCTTCCTGTTCATGTCGGGTACAGTAATTCTTTAGCCTCCTGTGCAGCGTATGTGCAGTCCAGCTTTTAGCATTCCATAGGCATGTTGCATTACTTCCTCTCCTACTTTGCTCTGTTCTCCTCTCCTCCCCCTTGGGTTACTCTCTGGAAATGTTTTTTCAGCTCTTCTATCTGCTTGCTGACATGGCACTTTGGTTTGCATGTTAACATGGTTGATTTTTTCAGGAAGCAATTTTAAATGATTGTTCAGTTATTGCGGGTATGAATGAGCTGATAGACACAGGCCATTTAAAACTATGTAAAATATCTGAATTAGAAAAATGCCTTCTACATTCTTATTACCATTATTTCTTCCTTGTTCTAGAAGGTAACAAACAATTTACAGCTTTCAGGCTTTGGCAGCTTTTAGCACCTTTCTGGATGCAGTGTAAAATAGTTCCCTCACACTGCCGTCCAATACCAACTTCCTGAATTTTCCGTCAGGCTGGGCCTGTGTTTCTCTTGTCGTCGGAGCTGAGCGTGCATCCCCAGCCAGGGCTGGGGGGTTTGTAGAAGCCAGGCAGCCCTCCTTCTGTATACCTCTGGGTCGCTGAATTCAGTCTTTTGCAAAAAGGTCAGTCATGTGAGGTCACACTGTTCAACCTTATGAAACGAGTGTTTTTTCAGTTGATTGTGTGTTTTATTTGGCTTTTTAAAGTTCCAGTTCTCAAATCTGCCAATTTGAGACCCTGCATCTTTTGTTACCTGCTTCTGGGCTAGAGGTACACATTCAGTGTGTGAGGCACAGCACAGTTTTAACTCATCATAAGCAAGATACTCGGAATCAAATGCCTACAGTATGTCCACAAGAACTATGCAGAGAACAGATACTTTGTTAGCTCAGAATTTCATAATCCTGTGTGAAAGAAGTTTGAGGGGAAAAATTGTTTCAGTTCATTGTAAATAGCTGGATTGTTTTGTTTTGGTTTGGTTTGGTTTTGTTCCATCTCTCTGTTTTGTACTGTGTCTTAATACTGACACTTTAAAACAAAAATATGAACATTTTATATTGTCAGAATGTTTTTTTTCTTTTCCATTATGTGTAAGTAGAACTACTTGGGGCAGCCCACTCTGTCAGTGCCTGGCTCTGGTAGAGGTCTCCTGACCATTTCTATTTCCCCTAGAGCCTTCTCAGTTGAGCCCCTACCACGTCTGTTGACTTCATTGTCCTCTTCCGAAGCCAACGTTGTCGTATAACTGTTTGGAGTACGCGTATGCTCTTGATCAAGGGGGCTTAAGTATATATCTAAATCTTTTTAAAGCTGTCCTAATTTGGGGGTGGTTGGAGTGTAGGAAAAAATGTCCGTTTTCTATCATGCCCGCAAAAGGTAAAAAAACTCTCGTGGTGTTTTCACCCTTGTCCACACTGAAGTGTAATATGAACATAAATTGTAAGCCCTTATTACCCATGTGGAGACATGGTATCTTATCCTGCAGGTCACCTGGTCTGCTCTTAAATCTGTTGAGTTACCGTCTAAAGATACATAATGGCTACCAGGAGAAGAAACTTCTTTTTTAAATAATTTCAAACTTTCATGTAGGCTATAATGTAATAGGAAGCTTTTAAGCTGGGGGAAATAAATCTGTGCAGTTTCCTTCCCATGTAGGTAGCCCTATCTGATTTTCTTTCAGGTGACAATATTATTGAACAGAATGACCACACATCCATGCCATTCCTATTCCCCACTTTGCACTCAAACTGGCTGTCTCTCCGCTCAGTTTTGATGCCTGGTACAAAATGGCATCCCCGTTGCCTTGAAGTCAGCCCTGAGGCTTCAACCCGAAGTTCTTTTTCGTCACTGTGTAGGAATGGAGCATGTTTGAAGGAGTCAAAAACTTTGGAATCTGAATGCTAACAGGTCTCAAGTGAATACATGTTAATGAGGTCTTGCAGTGGTTTGTGAATAGGCTGAATTTGGATGGGTGGGTTTCTGCAAAGACAGCAATGTCACCCTGCTGGGCAGCAGTACTCCTCTGTGGGCTATTTTGGCACTCTGCCCATTAGATAACACAAATATTTAAAATTCCAAAAAGAGAAATCCCACTAAGCTTCTGAGCAGTTCTTTATTTGCATTAAATAAATGTAACTTCAGGTGTTAATATCTCCTCTAATATGTGCAGCTAAATAACTGTCATCATTTCCATTTATGTTTTTGTTTATCTGGTAGAAAAGAGTGGTGGAACAGCTTCGAAAGAATTTGATAGTGAAGCAGGAACAGCCAGACAGTAAGTTTCAAATACAGCCCTTGGCACAGTCAGAAAACAAACTACAGACACCACAGCCGCAACCACTACAACAGCTACAGCAACACCACCATCAACAGCAGCAGCAGTCTACTGCACCCTCTCCAAACGTGATTGGATCACAGGTAAAAATTTCTACAATAATTCTTTTCCTTGCTGAAGGTGAAGTTCACTGCAAAAAAACCACAAAGAAAGGTGCAGAGAGAAATAACAAACTTTCACTTACACCCATTAGTGTACCAATATGAATTTCTCCTTTTATGCATATGCACATATGGGTCTTGTGGGTTTTTTCATCAATAACCTCCTATCTGAGTAAAAAAAAAATAATGTAGCGTTTAAAAGTCAGATCATAGCCTCACAGAAAAGAAGGGTGGCAGTATCACTTTTCTTAAAAATAAGTGAAAGTTTAGCAAATGAACCTATCTTTTCTGTAGGTGCATGAATGATTGTCTGTCCATACCCAGTAGGTCTCAAGAAACAGTAAAGACTTTACAGGCACTGTATGAGGTGTATGATTAAAATAATTTATTTTTAAAAGACTAACAGAGTGCTCACTGTATCTGTGAACAAAACGTAAGAAAACAGTTCCCTCCTCTTTCTGCTTGGTTCTTTTTAAACAGATGTAACTCGTATCAAATAATACTTACCTGAGTCTTCAAGGCTTAGTCTAAAAGTACACAATGGTAATTGCAAAGTTTGAATTTTAGAAAGCAGTGTCTTTATTGGGAAGGTACACTGAATTTCAGTACAGTATAGGATTAGAGACATAATCCCAGAACTCACCAGCGAAAGTGGTCTGCTTTTACTGAGAGGGGAATTCCAAGCTGGTTCAAAGTCTCTCCTGTTCAGATATTTAGAATCCCCAAAGTGTGCTAATAAAACAGCAAGACAGTGTAGGGAGGTGTTTTGTAAAAAGAAGTGTATGTGAGGTCTTTTTTCCCATTGATGCAATCTCAGCAGTTCATGTTTACCTGCATAGGCAGGTGGCAGAATTCGCCCATGAAGTTTACTTTATGCACACTGCAGTGAATCACAACCATAGCTTTGACTGGTGGTGGTTCTTGTCTTCCCTTTTCCTGGAAACAGAAGGGGGAGAAACGGTTGGGCTGTTAGTTTTCTCATTAACTCAACAGGTTGTTTTGGATGCTGACTGAAAATGTATTTGAAAGACTTAGGTAATTGTATTTTTTATAAAAGCATATTGAAGAAGTTAAGCAAACTTAACTAAGGAAAAGGCATTTTTGAGCAGCAACATCTATATCAAAGCTAAAACAGAACAAAGAAGTAAATATTACTGTGTCCTAAAATATTTACAGGCAAACAATGGATCACTATTTGCTGTATCACTGGTCTCTGTTTTTCAGTCAGGAAACATGACTGCAAAAGCAGTTTTATGTGTTTCTCCGTATTCCACACTTCACATTCATGCATTAACTTCCAGGTCATCTCCTGGGTTGTAAAAATTGAGGTTCTGTTCAAAGTTAGAGCCCTCTAGTGAAACAGTCAAAAAACTGCTACACCCTTCTGACTGTCATTCATACAGTTGTACTTGGAAAGTAATTACAAACTGAAAGGCAGGTCATCCTCTCATTTGAATAAATAAGCCAGCTTTTATCCTTAACACTTTTCTATTTTTATTTATGTTGGTATAATTCTGAAGTAACCTCACTTGCTTCTGTACACATTTTGCATCTAAGGTTGTGCCTCTGTCCTGTTGCCCCTCAATCTGTTTCAGCAAAGAGAAGTCAAATATTTCGTGTGTCTAGAAAGTTTTTTGGTGCCTACTTTTGTAAATAATACATCTTTCAAGGCTGTGTCAGTAAAGAGAATGCTTTCAATAGTTATTTTCAGAGTAATTCAGTTTAGGAATCAAGGTATGTATGCTGCCTTAATAGTCACATTTTAATATACTTAATATAGTCCAATAAGAAGGGCTTTTTAAATTTTCATAAAGCAGCAAGCCTGCTAAAAGGTCATATTATTGCAATGTTATTATGTGAAATAATGCAGACTTACTATGAATGCCACTTCAGTATGAATTCATTCATTGAAAACTTTTTAAAATAACCAAGGTAATTAATGCTTAGCAAAGTAACGGATATTCAAGCTCTGTGATCTGCTGACTGAAACTATACTCGTAATACTTACAGACTTACTAGAACCCCTTGAAAGAGTCACAGTCTTGTGTTACATGATTGATTACACTTTTCTTTAAAATGTTTATGGATGAATGTAATGCTTGTGAAAATGATACCATGTCACATCTCATTGGAAAGGCTTGAATAATATTACTGCATTAGGGGAATGGAGCCTCTTGCTTTGGAGAAGGTGCAGCAGAGGTCAATAGGAAGTTCTTGAATCTCAGATAAAAAGTTAAGGGAATTGTTCACGTTGTGACAAGAAAAAGTTAATTATGTCTGGGTTTTGTATAAATGTATAAAATTGAAACATGAATTATCCTTTGATTTGGCATTATACAGTGTTTGGATTTTTTTCATGCTTGTGTGTAATTAACAGTTAGGGATATAGTTTAAGCATTATGAAATTAGAGGTGTGAAAGTAAACTGCGTTTTTGTGTAAGGAAATAAGATTGGTGAAAATACTGAAGAACCCAACTGGAAACATATTTATATTATTTTATTAGAAAGAAGAGAAAGGTCTTGTGTGATTAAAATCAAGCCGTCTAAATGAGGCATGTTCAGAACATGAAAAAGACTGCCTGATCCCTGGTTCTCCATTTTTTCCTGTTGTAGAGCCTAGCGCTGACATCAGGAGGGAATGGTGGTTATTTCATACTAGGAGCACTTGATCATGCCAGTAACTCTTTTGAAGATGCAGTGCCATTGGTACAATGGATTTTTTACACCAAAGAGAAAAGAAATAAGCTCACTTGCCATTCTGTTGAGTGTCACTTGTCATGAGTTTTCTGTGCACATTTTGTTCTGGTTTTATATGGAGAGATTCTTGCCTTGTTGCTTTTTGAATGAGTTTCGTAATTGTCCATTTCCCTTAACATCTTAGAAGACAGTACAGTTTAAAACAAAGCTTATGAAATTATAGTTGTTTTAACTTTGGAATTTGTAGGCGTAGCGTATTCAGGCATTTCAGGTAAATGCTGGCATTAAGTGATTCAAAACTATTCTCTTTAAAAGAGGCCGAGAGCAATCATGATGTCACATATATGTTCCAAAACCACCCCATTCCACAGAAGTTAAACTTAATTGCCTGCAGCTGGACAGACTAACAGCCAGCTCTTACAACTTCAGGATAGCCCTGCTGATATTCTTAGGAAAGAAAGTTAAGAGCTAAATAACTGTATGGCTAAAACTGAAATTTGGGATACCCAAAATCAAAATACGTTTTTGTTCTTAAAGAAACCAATTTATGAATGTTTTTTCCCTCTTCCTCTGATTGTGAAGGTCTCTGTAAATAAAGTTTCCATTTGAAAATTTGAGTTTTAATTGGTGAGAACCTAGTTTGCTGGTATGTTTCATAAACCTCCACCTTATAGGTTTGATATTGCAGTACATATTTGGAAGTAATATGAAACTAAAAGATCCAAAAATGCATATGCCACTACTAACACTTGATTGTCATTTTCTCAGGAATTTGTTCTGAATCGATCTGTAATGCTTCAGATGATTAAAATAGACCCGACAGGTGCCCCAAATGAGAATCCTTTCTAGCTATCCACTTTTCAGAGGCGTAAGATAATGTGCTTGTGTGAAGAGCAGGTAGATAGACTCAGTGCTGCCTTTTCTTTCTCTTACTGTCTATTGTTTCTGACTAACCAACCCACGTCCTGTCTGATACGAAGTGTCTCTGTCTCTTACAGTGTATTTTCTGTTTCCCTTAGAAAACTGTAACTACAGCTTCTATGATCACCACTAAGACACTACCTCTCGTCTTGAAAGCAGCAACTGCGACCATGCCTGCCTCTGTTGTGGGTCAGAGACCTACCATTGCCATGGTTACTGCTATCAACAACAATCAGAAAGCAGTCCTCAGCACTGATGCGCAGAATGCACCAGTCAACCTCCAGACAACAAATAAGGTCACTGGGCCAGGAGCTGAGGCAGTCCAAATAGTGGCAAAAAACACAGTAACTTTGGTAAGCGTTTCGTGTGTTTGCCCTGCAGATATGTGTGGGTTTAGTTTACAAGAGGGCTGTTGGAAAAAAAAAACCACAACCAGTCAGGTTTTTGCACAGAAAGAATAGCAGGGACATGTCGTGAGTCTTCACTAGTTGTTAAAATGATAGTCTAAGAGAAAAGCCTTTACTGCCTACATGGGTTGTTGTTACTGTTTTGCTTTATAGAATTAAATCAGTGCTATCATCACCTCTGTGTAAAGTTTCCCCTGTTAGTAATTGTTAGTCATGGGGAAGTAATGATTGTTTTGCCCCTACCTAATCTATGTCACTGTGTTCTGCAGAATTCCTACTCTTTTCTTTGGTAAAGGGGATGTCAGACTTTCTTCATTTGATCAGTTTGGGTTTTCATCTTAGATTTTTTTGAGTCAATCTCTCTCGTTCCCTTTGTGTGATAAAGTCCCTGGTGTTAGACACATCACTTAACTCTGCCCACTACCATGTCTTCACTCACCACTTTTTCATACACGTATACAGAACCTGTTTCTTTAAGCATATATTTTGGAAAGTGCTTTGATTACATCACATAGTCTTTTCCAGAATAGTTAGCCACCTAGAAATGAGAGAAGTAATGTTTTAGAATTGGGTTATATAGGCTTCTTGGTCTGGAAACCAGGCATTGCATAGCATCATGACAGGGAAATTTTACTTCTGGAGTAAAGGTTAAGACTTCACTAAACGTAAATCCAATTTATCTTTATTGAAAAATACAGTTTAATAATGCAAATGGAAGTAATTTTGCTTCCTAATGAGGCATATATTTGCAATCAGAATAGAGAAGACTATTTGAGTGGAGTTTTTTCTACTGTTCTCTTTTCCCATGTCATCCCTTGCACCATTCTCATCTGTCCTTTGTGTCTGTGCTTCATCTCTTTGCTGAATAACTTACTTAGGTTTGGGGAGGTGATTCTGTTTTAATAATAGTCCATGATTTATGTTTCTGTAGTGAATTTTATCAAAAATCTCAGAATATTTTCCCAAGCATTAATTAATCAGTACAAGACCTTTTTGAAGTAAATTGCAATCTTATGTGGGCGGACAGAAGTACAGAAGGGTGGAAACTAACATGGACATTAATTTCAGAGAGTCTCACCGAGTACTCAACTTAGGGTAGCTGGTAGTGCTGTTCAGAGGTTATCATGCGGCAGCTCCATCCAGCTGATTTCAGTTAGACAGGGAAGTACTTAGGATGCCTTAAAATCAGATCTTAATTGTTTCAGATGAATGGCTTACTTTTGAAAATTTCAAGTTGTGTATTTAGAACCTCTCATAGTGTCATTAATATTGCTAAAAGAGTTGTAACTTCCAGATCTTTTCTATTTGCGTGAGATACTCTTTCATTCTTCTGCATGCCATTCAGTATGAAAGGACAATGGTTCATATAGCTGGACATCAAAGTCTGTTATTATTTTCTGTCTGTTGTAAAGCCAATTTTTAGTTATTAAAACAAATAGGAGTTTTCATTATCTTCAAATTAAATAGTTTTAGGTTGCAGAGCATAGTAGTTAGTTGAACTAAAAGGAAAGATACCTTCAATTTGTGAAGCAAGGTGCGTAGGAACTGGAAAGTAAGGTTAGCTCTGTCTTTAATACATTTCTAATGAGGAACCTGTTACTGTGAAAAATTATTTACAGAGTGGAAAACCCCGGGACATCAGGTCTGAAAATACATTCAGGATGTTGATTTTGGTGAACGACTTCAAAGCTATTTTCCTCTTACTGAACTCTCTTATGTTCTTATAGCAGGTTCAGGCTACGCCTCAGCCCATAAAAGTGCCGCAGTTCATTCCTCCTCCCAGACTTACTCCTCGTCCAAATTTTCTTCCACAGGTGAGTGTACAGAGAAGAAGCAATAGAAGAAGGAACTTAATTATAGCATAGATAGGAGATACTTTCTGTGAAGATAATTTTTGTCAGTCTTTATTGGTGACCTGGTGGAGGAGGCAATTCATGCTCAACAGGTTTGCCGATGATGCCAAATTTGAGGGTGCAGTCAATACTCTTGAGGGCAGTGCTGACATTCAGAGGGTCCTAGACAGGGCTTGAGCTCTTCAGCAAGAAAAGGCAAAGTCTTGCACCTGGAATGGACTAACCCCCCTCATAGGTACCGGCTGGGGACTGGCTGGCTGGGGAGCAGCACTGCTTAAAAGGTCTTGGTTGACAGTAGCTAAACTAGCAGTGTGCCCTGGCAGCAAAGAAGCCTAGCAGCATTTTGGGCTGTACCAAGAGGACCACAGCCAGTAGATTAAGGGAAGAGATTATCCACCTTTCCTCAGCAATCATAAAACTGGATCTGATATACAGCATGCAGTTTTGGACCCCCTGGTACCAGAAGGAAGTTGATAAATTTGAATGAATCCAGGGGAGGAAGGCCACTAAGATAGCTGGGGGGCAGGTATATATGACCTGCAAGGGGAGGCTGAGGGATCTGGGCTTGTTTAGTTTGGAGAAGAGGTTTTTGGGGCACCCTGACAGCAGTCTTATTTCCAATATCAACAAGGAAATTAACAAGAAGATGGAGACATAGGTTCTTGGCAGGAGAATTATAGACAATAATCATAAATGGGAACAGGGAAGGTTTAGACTGCGTATAAGGAAGCGATTCTCTCTTTGAGGTCAATTAGGAGTGAAAGAGACTTCCCAGAGACGTTGTGGAAGCTCTGTCCTTGGAGTTTTACAAGACCTATCTGGACAAAGCCCTGAGCAACCTGGTCTGCATTTAGTGTTGGCCCTGCTCTGAGCAGGAGGTCAAATTAGAGACCTCCTGAGCTGCCTCCCAACCTGCATGAGTCCGTGATTATGAAATTCATATATGATGATCATATATGATCCTATTTGCATCAAGCGAAATGAACCCACAGGACAGGTGCCAGCAAAATCAAAGCATCACCCAAGGCCTTAAATTGCTCTAATTGTTGTTTTCTGCTCATGAGCAAAAAAGGAAAAATGAGATGTCTGTAGATTGTTCCCAGGTATTTCTGTATTGCAACAGAGAGTGACCTCTGTGTGCAGCTGAGCAGTAAAACTTGTGTTTTGGTTTTTTTTCATGGTTTGGGAAAGATACAGATTGCTTCTTCATTTAAAAAAACATCTCGGAGGAACTACTTCATTTGTAAGAAATACGTGGTGCTGTGAATAAAAGTCTAAATCTTTTACAAAAGAAAAAAGGAAAGTATAGGCTGGTATCTGATGAAGATTTGGGGATGGTGAGATCTGTTGGAATGTGACCTGGTTTTCCATGATAAAATGCATTATGGAGTATTAACGTTGGATAGGACAATAGAAATTAAATAAGGAAAAAGGCTTTATTTTCAGAGTAATGTATTCTACTTCTGTACTCTGTAATGACGTGATAAGTGCAAACTTAACAATGGGCAAGAAATAAGCGAGTATTGGTGGTGGAGGATTGGAAGATCCTTGTGGCTCTTTTCTTTCTTGTGAAAGAAGAACGAGAGTAATGACTGCATTTACCTGTAGCCTTCAGCACTTTCAATGAGGGATTAATGAATAATCTTGACAATTTTTTTGCTTAGCAAGATTGGTTGTGCAGGTATCTAAATAATATATAGAGTTGACAAAGGTAACAGGGATTTGCTGAAAATTTTAGTTATTTCTTTCAGGGCACAATCACCTGTTCATGATTTCTTGGAGGCTCAGTATAAAGCCCTGAGACACACTTTTAACATGAGAGCCTCAGCTGTGCCTGTAAATATTACGCGAATTTTTTGGCTTGCAATACCAACATGTTGATTTAGATACAGATAAGGCACTTGGCAATAAACATGCAATATAAGTATCTGTGCATCCAAATACCATTTCAGGGACAGTGACTGTATATGCAAATGTTATGGATGGGTTTTATGCAAGTAGGTTTGAAAATGTGGCTTTTCCTTCACATAACATACTTAGGGCTCTATGCTAAAAATTACGTTCTATAAAAAAATCAAGCAACCTTCTGCAGATTATGCAGGCTGAATTGAAAGACTTAGTAAAAAAGTTCATCTGAAATACTGATATACAAATCTCTCTCTCTTTTTTTTCTTTTTTCTTTTTTTTGTAGGTTCGACCTAAACCAGTTGCCCAAAATAACATTCCTATTGCCCCAGCACCTCCTCCAATGCTTGCAGCTCCTCAGCTTATTCAGAGGCCTGTGATGTTGACAACAAAGTTCACGCCCACCTCTTTACCCAACTCTCAGAACTCCATACATCCTGTTCGTGTAGTTAACGGGCAGACAGCAACCATAGCCAAAACTTTCCCTATGGCACAGCTCACCAGCATCGTGATAGCAGCACCGGGTACCAGGCTCGCTGGACCTCAGACTGTACAGATCAGCAAACCAAACATTGAAAAACAGGTACAGATAAGAAAGTGTCTACTAATGCAGCGTACTGGGTTTATTGCTTTACTGTGCCATTTTGGAGAGGATGACAACCATGGAGAAATTTTCAGTGGGTACTGGAGATGCTCATGTTCCAACAACAGTACAAATTATGGAATGACTTGCAACTCCTGGGGCAGAAGTTACCATTTTCTTTAATACGGCCCACTGGAATCTTTTTCTCATGCTTCAGTGTTTTTATGCTCCCCCTACTGTCTTAACTTCGGTAGTTTATAAGCTAGCTACATTGCAGGGCTGTACTAGTATCTTGGAGACCAAGTACAAACTGAAGTCCATGTTCATATCAAGCCTTTAAGAAACACTGGAAAATATTTTCTCTGTTTCTGTTTTTCAAAGGCTGGCTACGTGAAAGGCAAAAACTACGCAAAACCGTAGGGGTATTTAATACGGTAAATGTAGCCATTTCTTCCTTGATCTTGCAGTCTTGTGTTTGGAGGTAAAAATAGTCTCACTCAGCTTCTGAAGACTGATAGTTCCCCGTGACTAAATTGGATTGATTGAGTGGAAAGGAGACCCTCAGAAACGGAGAACTCTAGATGTTCAGTTTTAAAGTCTCTCTTCAGAAAAGACTTTCATAAAATAAAACATGACTTTAGTCACTGTGGATTGCAACTGAGAATCCTTGCCATTCAGTTCAAGCAAAGCAATCTTCTATTTCGCTTTTAACTCTTTCCTATATTATATGTTAGTATGATATTGTATACTATTTAATACATTCTCTATAACATATAATATTTCTGTAATTTATATAAATAATAGTAGTATATATTTCATTTATAACTCTTTCATAGACTAATATGCCTTGAAGTTACCTTCTGCTTTTGAAGTCACCTATGGAGACTGTGAAAGTTATGTGCATGAAAGATATGCTTATGCTCAGTTCTGCTTATGAATTCTCATGAGTAGATTCTTGCGTACCTCAAGACTGTTTCACAAGTTGTTCAGCAATGCATTGCCCTTCTCGTATGATTTGAAGTTGTACTTCTACAGTACTATATTTTTTGATGCCTATTCCTTTTGATGTCAGCAATATTCATTTGCTCTTCAAATAATTACGGGCAATTCAACTGTTGAAAAACATACAGAAGAATGGTGGTGGTTTAATAATACATGAATTTTCCTGTATATTTTCTCCATATCATAAAGGGGAAAAGTTTGTCTCTCTGTAGCTTACGTCACTCAGTTTGTAGCCTCAGCAGCTATGCCATGGGCTGAGGATTGTCATGTAGAGTTTGTGATACCATTGCAGAAGATTATGACTTCAGAAAAGAAAGAAGCTTCAGAAACATCTGAGATCGTAGGATTCAGAGACAGTTTTTGAGCCGTTCATAATTCTATGAAATACCAAGACTGAGGAGTGAGAAGTACAAAATGCATGTGCCATGCAGAGTGGTTTCTACCTGGAAGTTTTCCATGGGATGCTTTTTCTTAAAGTGCCTGTTAAGTTTTCCCATACCGTATAGTGATTTCTGTAATGAAGTTAACTCTTAAGATGACTTTTATTGCTTGCATAGCTGCGTGGGTTAATGGAATGGTGGTAAGGCTGTTTCATCCTTTGTTAAAGGAAAACACTTTAACGTTCCTCTCACGTCAGATTCCTCAATTAAATCTTTGTTAGTACACTGCCAGCTTCAAACTTTTTCTCCTGTATCTGCAAAAGTATTTGTTCTGCTTTAATAGTCAAAGTAAAAAAAGTAATTCTTATCACTGAATGAGAGAAACACTGTTTCTTTTCAGACTATTAAACCACATGTGGAAGCAGAAGAGAAGCAAACAGAAAGTCGTACAGTTACTCCACCTGCTGCACCGAAGCCAAAACGAGAAGAAAATCCGCAGGTATCAGAACACACCCAGAGCTTTCTTTTAAGAAAAAAAGGAAACACTCTGTCCTTCAGAAAACATTTTTCCCCCCTGTTCCCTCAAGACTCCTTAACTTTAACATTCCATACATTCCTGTTGGACAGAAGTAGTTGATAAGGCTACAGAATAAGAAATCTAAATAAATATAATGCATTGCATTTTTCAGTCCTGGAATGCATTTGACTTCTGAGTCTTTTGTAAGTTAGATCATAATTTCTCTCTGATACTTCCTTCAACCAGGAGGCTTAGATTACAGTGTTGATTTCCATTCCTTTGAGGTTTTAGACTTCTGGAGTAATTTTTAATGCTGGAGAAATGTCTTTATTTTGCTTTACAAAATATTTCTGCTCTAGTGAGCAGGATGGAAGGAGTCATGTATGTTCACATTCTGCCCGGTTTTTATTCCAGTTTAGGTCCAGTTGGTTTTTGGGGGAAAGA